TGATAAACAAAAAGCAATTCTTTGTATATGCAATTTTTATAATTAATTGGCATCAAACTTATTTTTGGCCATAAACTAAGAACGAAATCATTTTGAAAAGTATATATTATCAAAGAAGGATTACAATAAAAATTTCCGAAAAAATGGATAATAAAAGAAAATAAAACATCAGAAAAAGGGTCGTCAGCCGCCTCCATCCACACATGTCAGACCGAAGGGGAAGGGGGCACCCCTTGGGCCTGCTGGTGCTGGGCTTGACCTAGCTTGGGCCTCACCTAGTGGTCTGTCTGTTGGTCAGTCTGTTGGTTGTTTGTATGGTTCGTTTAGGTTGCTGGCACATTTGGAAAGCTGACAATGTTGTTGTGCCAAGTCAACTGAGCCAAAAAAAAAATCGGTCACTCCAATTTTGGCAAGGTTTTATGTTTCGTTGAAACTGTATTATACGTTTGAATAAAGGAAGTTAATATTTCCATGGAAATTTTTTATTAATCCACTGAAAAATTGATAAATAGACAATTATACCCAAGGTTCTAAAAAGCTCGCCATGGCTCCGCTATGGCGCGTCACGGCTCCAAGGCTTGCACCTGCCGCCAAGCTTTGCCAAAACGCCGCCTTAACTCATATATGTGTATAAAAATGAATAATAGTTGAAAATACATATAAAAATATTAATTATATAGAAAATTGTCGCCTTAAGTCACGTCTTACAAACGTCGTGACTCGCCAAGGCTCGGAAAAGCTTGAGGCTTGACGTTGACGCCAAGTCACGCCTTACGTTATTTAGAACCTTGATTATACCCCTCAACCCACTTTCATCTTCATAAGATGTAGATTTGTGTATTTAATGGCGATCTTATTCGGTTCGTACATGATATGCAAATCAACATGTTATTTTGCAGCAAAAATCAACTGTCATAGTATTCTATTTGCATTGCTTTTATAAATTTGAATTACTTTGATCCGTAATTTCTGAGTATTGGAATCAGATTTAATTTTTCATAGGAATTCTTTGATTTTTCATAGGATTCAAAATGTGAACCAGAGGTGTTGTAGAACCACCCAGCCGAAGAACCCATATGATTACATGCCTAATAATTGTTAGCGTTCAGCCGAAGAACATACATGATGAACGCACACCTGCAAACCACTATGAACACACCCAAACATAATGGTGCACACACATACACACCTACAATCATATGCATTTGGATCTTTGAGGAATTCAAGAAAAAATAACAGTAAAATCATTGGTGTTGGTTACTAAATCCAAACAAGAAACCAAAAGCACCGGTGGTCTTCCACCAAAACGAAACAAGAATTCAAATCAATTTCCAACGATTCTGGTTACACATGAGAATAATATGATTATGAACGCCAAATTCAACTTATTGGCTGATATTGCGTTTTTGCACCAAATTCAACTTATTACTTCTACTCGTCTCAATCTATATTTCATTTCAGTTATATTGCATTGTCGTATTCAAACATGAGTACTTCATTCTCACCCAGTTTACTTACTGTTTGAATCAATGAAGACGCAACAGCTGAAGAAAGTTCCGTGGAAATTATTGAATCATTTGAGTCGGAGATGCAACAGGAAATCATAGCTTTTTTGGAAACTAATTATTTTCTCTCTTTCCAATATTATAATAAAAACAAAAATGGACTGAGGGGTATAAGTGTCCAGGCATTAAATTTTTAAAGGATTAATCAAAACACTGTAGAAAAATCAGTGCCCTTGAATAAAACACAAGGTATTAAATTTGATTTAATAATCCAACTGTTGCATTATATAGACAGATGATTTGTTATCTGATTAATTTATGTTTATTGAGATCATATAACTGATGTCCACAACAAATATTTTATAGGTGTTATATTTACGAAATTAGCATATTAGAAAATAGGTGTACAAACGATTGAGAGAGTAGCAACCTATCTTTTATAACCGACAAAGGCTGCCTAACGTATTGTGCATCATTACGTCATACCCCCCCCCCC